GGATCCACCAAGCGTTCATTGGCCACAAGATTAAAAGAACATAAATCAGACATCGAACATAATAAGTGTACGACGGCCCTATCTACGTATGCGACAAACCCGGACATCACACCTTTCTTCGATGAAGCGCATGTTATTCGCACCACCCAACACACGGAACAACTAAGAACTTTGGAGGCACTGGAAATATTTAAAGCCGATCGTAAATCCGCATGCATTAATTTCAAAGAAGAAATAAATCTCTCTGCAGCATGGCAATTTTTAATTGACGATAAATCATAATATAGTTTATAAGACAAGTTTTATGACGTAATGCACACAATGATTCCCCATTGGTAGAAAATTACATTTGAAATAACACGTGGATTCCTTCCGTTTTCGGAAATTTTTTCGAAAAATGGCACGTTACGTTTTTTGAAAAACATTCGAATTAAAGAATCCGGTTATAACGAAAGCTATAAAGAAGTAAGCCTGAAGAAGATCCCAGGAGGGGAATCGAAAACGTTCGCCAATTTTAAAGAATTTCGCACCGGTTAATGGTTAATTGTAGGTAGTTGTTGGTTTGGAATATATACAACCCGGTGTGGTAAGAAAGCACATTAACTATATACACTATTTACAAAAAGACAAAGGCACCAGTTTTAGATATAACGTCTTGACTCTATTCGATGCAGTACGAATTTGGTGTTAGCCTCGGCCCTCAGCAGTGTAATTTTGAAGTGAAGGGGGGCGATACGACGTAATGGTTTTATTAAAGGGGGCGACGATTTGTTAGAGATTGAGAAACACTGATCTAACAGTTTTATAAGCTTGTACAATAAGAAAGCAAACTAAATATAATAGATTTTTTTTATATCAATCTCATAATATAAGATTTTGATGATAATGAAAATAAAATAGTATAAATATTATTAAGTAAAAATTAAGAATATTTTAATTAATAATTTTTTTAATGTACATCTTATCTGAATATTTATAACAGATTTTATATTATATCTATATATGTCCACATAAAAAGATCAAAAACATGTTATGCAAACAATGATTTAATGCTCTTTTACATGTAAGCAATCAAGATTTTTTCACCAGCTCTGTTTCAGGAGCTTATATAATTTATTTGAATGTTCCTTACTATGCAAACAGACAATTCCTAGTTCACAAACTGCTATTTTTCAACTGATTAATATTAGACAATAATAAACACTGCAAAAACCTATCAAACCAGTGATAAAATTATAAACAAAGTGTGAACATTTCTGCCTGTGTTAAATGGGCATCATCAGGCAATAAACTGCTGAGAAATCAACTTTGTTTATAATTTTCTTGCTGGTTTGTTAGATTCTTGGAGTTTTTATTATTGTATAATTCTTAGTTCTTTCACCCACCAACTGAACATATAACACATTTCTCAAAATCTCACTAGGATCCAGTGACAGATTTCATTTGTTAATGCTTTACATCTATCATTAGACTCTAGTGATATTTTGAGAAGTATGTCAAACAATTTTTAATAATTTTACTCAAAATATCTTTTAAATTAAAATTTTTTAAGCAAAAATGCACGAAATAACATTGAAATATAAATAAAATAAAATGATACAAATTAGAAAATAGGATTATTTTAATGATACTTTTTTTTTGCTAAAGCATTTCTTTTATGTTCAGTAATGCTTATTTTTTACATTTCAAACAAAATGTGATAAAATCAAATAAAATTGATATTAGTCATTTTGGAAATTCCAAAAATTTCAGCATTTAATAATTATATATCAATAATACAAATTTTGTCAAATTTCTATAATAAAGCTTTATTGTAGAAATTGACTGTTAAAATTTGCTTGATAGTAAAAATAACAATAAACTTATAGCACTGTTTTGAGAAGCTGTTCTAAGATCTTACTTTTAAATATTTGTCTATTTTTCAGATTCATCCAGATCACCTAACAGGAAAGTTTCAGGAGTTATATCTGGGTTGCCAGACATTGTTTATTTTAAAAGTCAATTCTTTATTTTAGCTAAACTGTTCTTTTTCTTAATTGAAATGAGATAAAATGCAATTTGTTCTTTACTTTCATTTTTCAATGTCTTCCTTATGTTTTGTAGCAAAAATAACAGATTTCTATACAAGTGTATTCATATCCTTCCTCATAGAAAACTATGATTTACCCAGGATACAATTCAAGCTTCTGAATGAGACAGTTGGGACCTTATCAGAGCTATAGAGCATACCCATAGGAACAAAAAAGTCAAAGAAACCATACCTTTACAAGTGACTGTTTGTAAGATACAGTTCCCTAAAATCAGGTCATGTAAGATTGCAAGTTGTTGCTCAACTAAGACTATCGCATTTAACAATGGAGAATAGACAGTATACTGATACATGTTAAAAACTGATCTTTGGAGGTGAATATGTTGCAAAGGATTGTATGTACAGATATGATTCCTTCAACCTTTTTGCTCATATAGAGGGGTCTACAATTCTGGGGTGCAGAATCCCTTATTCAGAGCTTGAATCTTACCTTACCCAGTGCTAGATTTCCCACTAGGCATTTCAGGCACAAGTCTAAGATCCCAGTCTCAGGACCTCAAATTGGAAAAAATAAAGCAATTTTATCAATGCAATTGTATAAATAATTCTATAATTACAATTAGACATTAGACATAGAATAAACAAACATAATAGTACTAAATAAATAATAATAATGTAAACTTATATAAAGGGGCTCAATATGTTGTGCTTAGGAATTCTGGAAGGACTTCATCTACCACTGGATTTATTACATATATTTCATATCCTAAATTAAACTAAAATTTGTAAATATCTATATTCAATATAAAAACTACAATTTTTAAATCAAATACTAAAAAGAAAGAAAGAAAAAAAAAACAGAATATTCAGTAATTAATAAAAAATCATTCAATTTTACTTCTTTTGGAATGGGACAGCATCCCATCCAAAAGAATGAAACTTGTAAAATTAATTATTTTAAGTGTCCTTTAATCCAGTCATAGAAATCTGGCAGCTATACTATAGTTATATCTGACAACAGGTAGACCATTGATTTCTTTGACATTCTTACTCCTAAAAGCATTATCTACAATGTTGATAGTTTCCCAATCATTTCATTCATTGTTGCATTTAGACAATTTTATTTGCATTTTTTTAATTATATAAATTATAAAATATGTTTTAATTAAATATATATTTATATGGAATTTTAAAAATATAATAAATCAATAACATAAACAAAGAAAATTTCACATCAGATCATTAAAAAAATTAAATATTAATTATGATTACAAATTATTAGAGTTAATAAATTAGCCAGACAATCTATTAGTTAAATCATTAGCATTGAAACACTATTGAAAATTACAAATTTTGTTTTTTGAAATTTATAATTCTCAATTTCTTATTCTTTTTCAGAAAAATAAAGGAAACTAAATTACAGAATTGCTCCAGAATGAAATAAATTCGTGACCATTCCCCCTTTATAGTAATTTATAGTTTTCTTTCATAATTCTTTAAACAAATTGTAATTTTTAAAATTTTTAATGCACCATCAATGCTTGTAAAAGGACAAAACAATAAAAATTATACTATTTGAAATGTTTTTATATATTACTTCAAAAAAAATCTTAATCATTCTTTAATTACTCAATTTTAGAAATTAAATTATTAAAAAGTAATAAGACTAAATTTGAGTAATTATAATACTTGATTATGATACTTGAATACTTGATTTCCTTAGTAAAACTGTACTTTAAAATTTAAAAAAATATTAAAGATAAAAATATTATTAAAGTGGTCATTATATCTTATCTGTTCCAAACGTATCTTAGCTAATAAAACATTTTATTTAATTTCAATTTAAAATATTTTTTCATCAAACTTTAAATATTAATTAATATAAAATGTTAGCATTTTTTCAAAATTTAAAAATGTTTAAATTCTTTAAAAAAAAAGTTATATTTAAATCCTTAAAATTTCCTCTATATTTGTAAATTTGATAATTAAAAATAATAATAATGAATGAGACTTTTGACATTGATCTTAGATTGAACTTAAATCAAAAGGTATTAAAACTAATTAATTCCTATTAATAAGAAATTAATATGAATTTATACATGACTGGAATATATAAGATTAAATATAGATCTGTTTTTATTACTACTATATGCCATTGTATTGTCTATTGAAAATTATAATTTAAGCTCAGTTTAATATATAGAATACATATTACATGATGTATATGATATACAGATTTATTAGTTAAATGTGTGATTTTAATTATATATTATGTATATCTTAATTATACTCAAGCTATATTTTTTAATTGCACATAGAATTCATAATAATATCATCAATGATCAGCAAGTATTTGTAAGTTTAATTCAAATTGTTTAAATCCACGTGTGAAAAAAATACATTTAAACAAGTTTTAAATATTAAATCAATATAAACATTTGTACTTGGGAATAGAATCAATGTATTTTGAGTGTTTTATTGAATCGATATGTGAAACAATTGATATCAACATTATCTGTAAATCACGTTAAAATTCTCAAATGCATCCGTTCCACTTACATTGGTTGCAATACTTGTGCGCTGTTTTAGATAATTCAAGTAAGTAACGTTGCAAAATGTCGACCAGGAGGTCGATAGGGGACGATTGTACAGAATGCCATCCAATATTTTGGCATATTTGTGCCACAGCTACTCTAAGAATGCCCTGTGCAAATTGTGAAGACATAGTAATATGTGATACAGTTTATGAACCGAACGAAGCTTGTATAATGATCACATCTGTACTGAATACAATATATTTACTACGAACATTTTAAATAATATTGATAGACTTTAAGTGTTGCCAGATTGTAATAATAATAATAATAATTAAAATGTTGTATTGAGATTTATATTTTTTTCCATTAGCTAAATCATTAAATTTAAACAAAATATTTGTATTATTTAAAATCTTGAAATTAACAATAATAATATTAATGTTATTATTAACATTGTGATTACTTTATCATTCTTTCTTAGCAATCCGGAAAACGATAAATTAATGCCGATAAAATATATGTATATTATAATAAATATTTCAAAACTTATTGTTGAATTAATTTTAAAATACTTTTACTTATATGAAATCATTATTAATGCGCATTCATTATTGAATATTATCAATCTTTAGATATCTTTGTTTTTTAACTCTTTCCGCCCTGTGGGCACTAAGAGGGCCTCACTTTGCAAGCCCATTATGGGTTCGGCCAGGCCCACAATGGGGCTGCCGGGTGGTGAGGGACGGGGCCCGACATATCCGAACGAACCACCCTCTCGAAAAATTCCTGGGGATTATTTGATCCGTCTGGATCAAATAATCCCCAGGAATCCCGGATCCCCCAGAGCGGTAAGCTGCCACTTAACCGCTCGGTGTTATGTGTTATATCGCGATAGGGGTCGGACTTAAAATGTTATTCATTATTAGCATTTACACTTTTTTATGAAACTCATCACTATCCTCAAAATCAAGTTTTTTTGCCATTTTATAATAGTTAAAAATATAAGTTTTTAAACAAAATATCATAACAGATGACATCACCAAATGTAACTGGGAAAGTCAAGCAACTCGTTGCTGGGATTTTTAAAACTCATCTTGAAGTCCAATTCCCTCTCTTTCCTCTATCAGCCCATATCTGAATTCTAAAAACTGAATCATCTACTGACTGAATCCACAACACTAGTCGGTTTCTAACCTTTTCTGGCTCAAGTTTAATCTCTCTCTATTGCATTAATAAATAAATACAATATCAACTGTAAATAGTATATACTATAGCTCCTTTCTCACTGCATCATTCATTAATTCCCTTAATATCAATAGAAAAAAAAAGGTATCGGCTTAACCTTGACCAACTCCAAAGCTAAATTTTTTTGTCACGCTTGAATCTATCCTATCCTAACACTTGGTTCAATATTTCTATACATTTTCATAATTAAATTTATAATTCTCATCAACCCCTTTTCTTCCTGGCTCAGAGTTTTTGGGAATCCTGAAAATGTTCCATTAGTAATATACAGGTCTAATTTTTTTCTCAAACCTGTATTGATCCAGGTTTCTAGCAGTCCACAGTATATTTTAGATACATAGACAGTGTATAATTAGTGGGTTAGAGATTTGTTGAACTGTTACTACATTTTGATCAGTTGGTCTGAAAAATGATTAATCCAGCAAGGTTTTGAAACCAAGGGTGCTGAAAATTTGCTGACATACCTGTATATTATTCGATTTCAATAAGTAAATTGTTTTGTATCTGATTATTAATTAATCTTAATATTTATTAGCCTGATAAGTAATCTGGCAAATTGTTTGATAATTAAGTAAATAATTTGCCTTCTGATAATTTCACATCTTTTAAGAACTCTTAATAGAATATTTTATTAGGAATTCAGTTTTTTCTAGTTTATGGAATAATCTTACAATGATTTTTGACTTTGTTTCATGTTTTATAATTTAGATCTGAATACTCTACAATAATCAGTTATCCATTCTACATTTTTCGTTTTAAATTCAAACATTTGATCATCATATAGTTTTGAAAAAGTCACAATCTACTTTTCTAAAATTTCAACATATATAGATATTTATATGCAAGATATAAAATTTAATGTAATAAATATTTAACTATTAATTTAATTATATTAAATTTAAACCAAGAAAATTTACTACATTTTTTTTACAGAACATTTTTTTTGAGTTAAACTAAAGAAAGAACATAATCTTGAAAGCATCTTACAAAAATAAAACTGAATTCCTAATGTAATATTTACTTAAATTAATTACATAAAATAAAGAAATCTGAGAAATGTGTATTCGAAATAATAATTATGATTAAACTTAACATAATTATCAGCTCCAATTTAATTGATTTTCATACATAAAATGCAATCCATAAATACTGTATATAAAATTTTATATAAGAATTTAGAATATATAATTTCAATTTTGAGAGTAATTCTGTCATTTATAACAGCTCATAAGAAAAGTATATGAAAGTAATTGAATAACTCTCATAATTTATATTGAGTTTCTTGATCTTAATAATTATATAAGTTTAAATACAGGTATACCTTGATTAATGTGGTTAATTAATCCCTTGATGCTACAGCAAATATCAAAATTGCATTAATCGAATACAATAACTATGTTAAGCAAAGACATCTGGTAAAGCTGCATTAATTAAAATTTCTGCTGCCTACATAAAGGGATTGCTGCAATCAATTTCACACATTAATCAAATCCCTTGTCAGGAGCTTTTTACATGAGGCAGTAAAGAAAAAGCTTTACTGCCTCATGTAGAAAGCTCCTGACAAGGGTTATCAGAGATAAATGGAGAACAATTGCTGGGTTTGAACAAAATGTATACCTTGCACACCTAGCCTTTGTTAGGTGTGTGAACTAATACCCTCTATGAACAGTTTGATAAAATTTGTTTTATCGCTGACCAAATTATCTTCCAACTGAAATGAAGTTAGATAAAAAGTTCCAATGTTTTTACAGAAAAAAGGATGCAATTGCAAAGCTCCAGTCCTATTATAATTATTCTGATGAAGTTGTTCTGGAGGCAGTACACCATTTACTACAGCACTGCTGCAAGTTTAATCAAATCCAGTGTTAAGCATAGTATATCATTTGATATAAATACAGTATTCATTCCTCTCTCTATATTTCATTATGAAAAATTTCAATGTTGAATACAAATTATTTGTCAAAAATATGGCAAACAATAAAGAGATTAGTAATTAAAATATATAATTTCATTCTTATTAAATTATTGAATGGAATACATTAGAATAATTAAAAATATTTGAATACAATTTTTTTCTAATTTATTATTTGGAAAATACAATTACATTGGAAATGCTAAAGTCTATATTAAGTGTTGTAAAATTTGAGTATTGTTTTTGCAGAGTTAATATATCTTAGATATATCGGAATAATTCATATGATTCAATTAATTCAAAATATTTATAAATTTACTTTCTCATGGAAGAATAACTCTTTACCATATGTCAACATATAATTATGATTTGTATTAAATGTATATACAGCAGACTTGCTAATCCAGCCATTTCTTACACAGAGGGAGGCCAGATTACTGAGAATGCATAGGCCTAAAGGCAATGAATGAGTGACCTATTGCCTCTCAATTCTGAATCTTCTGGAGGCAGGCAGACAAGTAATATGCACAAAGACATGCAATACTGTGCAAATAAAACTTAGTAAAAAAAAAAATGTGACATGACTAACATTTTCATGGAAATGGAAGTAGACAATCACACTGGAGATGTGCCAGATAATTGCAATGCCAGATTAGCAAGAGTCTACTGTGCAAAATTTAGTTATTATTAAAAAACAATCAATGCTTTAACAAAACACTAAATGAAGCAACATAATGTTTTTCATTACAAAGAACGTGCTCAGCAAAATAATAATTAATAACCAAACACCTTTATTGTTGCCGAGAAAATTTAATTAAAACAAACATTTTCGACCTATTCCATAGGCTATGGAATAGGTCAAAAACGTTTGTTTTAATTAAATTTTCTTGGCAACGATAAAGGTGTTTGGTTATTAATCTATACTAATATAATAAAGAGGTAATGTTTGTATGTATGTATGTAAGTTTGGATGCAGCAGGTAATCTCCAAAACTACTCATCCGATTTCAAAAATTTTTTCACCAATATTTAGAATGGAACTTCAGGATGGACATAGGCTGTATATTATTCCGTTAAACATGGGGGATGGACAGTTCTTTAC